TATTATACTTTATATTATTGTACTTTATTATTATTATTATATTATACTTTATATTATTGTACTTTATTATTATTATTATATTATACTTTATATTATTGTACTTTATTATTATTATTATTATATCATTATTGTATTATACTTTATATCATTGTAAACAATGAAAGATATTTATTACATTTCTTAAAGAATGTTTTTGTTTGAATATTTTTTGGTTACCAAATTTCTTTATATCTTTTTGTTTGATTGTTAAGCACAAAGCTACACAATGGGCTATCTGTACTGTGCCCACCACGGGTATCGAAATCCGGTATTTAGCGTTATAAGCCTTCAAACTTGCTTCTGAATTAGGAGCTAAGCTGAATGTAAGTTCGGTTTTACAACACATAAATAGTTTGAGTAATGCCAAGTTGCTTTATTTTTCTGTGTATTTGAGCTAAAGCCTTTTTGGGTGGTTATTTAGCTAACATTGCATAATATAGTAGCCACACCAGTAAGCTAAAATAAATATATTAAAATCAGATTAAAAGTTAAAACAAATGAAAGTGGAAGAAATAAATATAGTGTTAGAGAAATTTAAATGTTATAAAAACAAAAGTCGCCAAAAGTATTCATTCAGTATGGCCTCTGAAAGCGTAAACCACCATATAATACTGTATGTAAAAAAAACGCATGTGAAAAACTCTGTTGTCAGAAGAAATATTGAGCTTGATACACTTTATTTTATAAGGAACTTAAGTTATATTCTGAATTAGGAATTAACAGTGAAGAGAGATGGAATATTCCCAAGTAAGCTAATGTCCCTTTCTATCGACCTAACCTTTTTAATTCTTTGGAGTAAGTACATTCCCTAATCTATATTGGTCTTACATTTATATTACACGTAAGCTAACAATATATATAAAATAATAGTTAATTGAAATTTAATGGCTGTATCTAGTTCCTGTGCAGACTGTGAAATATGATAACAATTTTCTAGAATGTGCTCATTTCTAGCTGTTTTTTTTTTACTTGTTTTACTTGTATCTTCTCATTTAGCATCATCAACTTCCATATCTTAACTTTTCATTGCTAGAACAATGTGGGTTAACTTTTAATAGGATATGCTCGGTATACTGCAATATACTGTATTAAATTCAGTATATTAATAACCTAATATCACTTTCATTTAACTCAGTTTATTTGATAATTGTTGGATAACTGCCAGCTCATGCAGACAATTCATGTACATATAATGTTTTCATTACTTGAATGTAAATAAAAACGTTGAAAGGTGAGCACTGATGCTGAGAGATTTCATAAACAAATTTACAAAGTGGCTAAAACATTGAACTTCAATTAGCAAAAGGTTATGAATAAATAATATTTTAATAGATTATTGGTATGATGTGCAACAACGATAGTCTGATTTGATTGCCATCTATTGACGTATAAGCAAACTTTGAAATAATTTTAATTTTCTAAATGTATCTCACTGATTTCCTACTTGCAACAGAGGAGTGGATCGACGTTCAGGGTAACTCTTCAGAAACCACGCCTTTCCACTTCACCCCAGTTTACTGTATGTGCCCCCCCCCAGTGGCACAGCGGTATGTCTGCGGACTTACAACGCTAGAATCCTGGTTTCGATACCCGTGGTGGGAAGAGCACAGATAGCCCATTGTGTAGCTTTGTGCTTAATTACAAACAAACAAACATACTGTATGCGCATACAATAACCGTAGACTACATACAACAATACAAATCCTTGGCAGGTATGTAAGTTTAAAATATTTCACGTCCCATAGAAGTTGTTACCTGAAACATAACTTGGGGTGGTCAGAAACTGTTGCTTCTCTTCGCTCCTCACGGGGAATAAGGTAATGTTGATAAAGAAAGTTTGTGGATTTGGCAAGTCTTGTTAGTTACACACGGTGACTTGATTTTAGTTGTTAAAAATTACCTGAGATTTGCAGAGAAAGAAAGAGAGAG